ACGGATTCATATACCACCTACATCAGTTCTCCTACTCTTTAAGGAACTATCAATATTCTTTGGACGTAAGTAATAAATACAGGCGTTAAAGGAAATATACCTTTCCTGACCTCATTCCCTTGAAGTTTTCAGCCAAACCAGGACGTGAAGGTGTCGGTTGCTACGTGGAACGAATACTTATGACACTAACAATCTTTTCTCTTATAAGTGTTTGTTGAAAATTACTTGATCCTGAACTTGGAAATAAAATCAAGCATAGTCCAAGAAACACTACTGCATTTATTATTACCATTTATATGGCGCGCAGTTATACTCTAATTATTATGTCATTCTCCATTTAGTACGCTACAATCTGCGTCATCGTACAAAGGTGCTTTGGTACAGAACATTATTATCATGGAATCTAGCATCTCCGGACTGTATTGTTCCACTGAACATAAATTACACGCTAATTACATGTAACAATGAGTGTAGACATGTTAATTATTTATACAAATTACTACTAACTTATGGTATAAGACCCACCACCATAACTTATGATCAGGTTTAACAACAAGCACAGTCAACAAGTAACAGATTTGTTGTTGTTATAGGTTGCATGTTTGGTGTCTAGGCACGTAATCCTACAAACACTTCTGTTACCCCGGCACAGGAACAATGGGGAGACACTAGATAAGCATCTGTTCCAGCAGACGGTTACATCTCGTATGTCGGTAGTACAGTATGCGCAAAGACGCCGGCCGACTGGCGCCAGGTGGTAAACAAAAAAATTAAAGGAAGCGCACGTTTCACAGGTCACCTGAATACTTATTTGTAAGTAACATAGCACAATGGAAGGAGACACTATACTACTGAAGCCACAGTTCAAGCAAAACATTCAAAGTAACCTTTCAAATAGATCTCGCCAAAGAATCTTGATCTCAAACATAATGTTATTATCGTTTTAACACATCAATCTCATCATTTCCAAGTTATCTAATCTAGTTCTATAAATAAATAAAAAATAATAATGGTTTGTGTCAGATTTAGGATTTGTTAGTTTGGAAAATAATGCCGTAACTGTAATGGTGAACGTTGTACGTTGGCAAATAAAGCGGAACAAATTATTGTGGCTACCGCCCGCGCCTTCGATGTAGGGTACACGGAACGGAGCGTAAAGTAATCACAAACCAATCACGTCCTTAATCCATGGAGTGAAGGGATAAATTAGTTTGAGTCGCCCGTGGGAATGACCGATACGATATGAGATGACGCAGTACACGACTGAATATTTCAAATGCTTGACTTCTTCAAATTGCATTAAACTGCTCTTGTAGTCAATGCTCAAGTTATGAAACTTTGGAGAGCAGTTATTCGAGGCATGAACATTAGAGTTGTTTCACGGTTAAAACTGGTCAGATATAAGTTTCTTGATGTTACTGGGTATGTTTATTATTTTATCTATTTTCAACACATTCCTAGGCTTGTGTGAAGTGCCCACTCGGCTGTGACTAATCACTTAACGATGAAATCTTGCACGAAAACCAAACAGGACCTGTGACTCACAGATCAGATAGCTGACCACACTGATTCATGACTTTAAGTGGAGCTTTAGTGTAACCTCTTCGAGTAAGTTTCTTTGCTGTTTTATTACTGAGGACCGTCGCAGACTTAGATAACTGCACAACATAAGTGTTTTAAATTGACGACTTCAGCCTTTTTAGAATATTACTGTTGCTCTTTTTGCATGAATATTTTGTCTTTAAGATAAGATGAAAATTATGTTATAAGATGAAAGCAGAAAGGACAATTACACTCGTCTCATAGATCATGATCCAATTACAAGGACGACGACGTTAACTAACCCATTTGTTACCATCACTTGGATAACGAAATACATAATTGAAATTCGTATCCCATTAGCTTTTTAAATGTGACGACCATGTTATATATCAATGTATCACCACACACGGGGCCAACGGGGCTGATGCCGATACGGAGCCGCGGAAGACTTAACGGGTTGCCGGGGCTCCGGCTCAAAGTGCAGGAGTAGGAATGGGGCGGTTTTTAGTCAGTAAGAGTCTGACACTCCCTCTCGTCTCACCCGGGCGGGAGAAGCCATTGGATGATTTACCCCCTTCAAACAAAAAGTAAGTGTATATTTCTATTGGAAAGCACCGTCATAGAAAATATTTTGCCTTATCGGCAATTATTGGGCGGCTTATATTATTTTAATCACTATATTCGTGCATGCTTGAAAAAAATGGCGCTAAAATATTTTTACTGGGTGAACGCAACAATTGTATTTAATGAATCTCCAAGGTTAGGTAACTAGCAGATGATAGAAGCGGATGAAGTTGAATCAAGTAGAAATCAAGGACATTTTCTTCTAGTCATCTTAAAACACGTTGAATTGCATTACAATCTGTTGTGGAAATAGGGATTTTAGCACCTCTTTTATAGGATTAACTCGTCGAGTACCGTCATTATAGACACAATTATAGAACAATAGGTTGCGGTCACCGGTGACCGCTTGGTGTTTGACAGTTTAACTACGTTCGTGGGGAGTTGTGAGGACCCAAACAAGATGAAAGCTCGGGCGCTCCGGGAAAAACACGATTGGTTAACGAAGGGCTTAAAACATTGTGCTAACCTTGGTTACGTCAATTAACATTTAGATACTACAAAGGTTACGGAAACGTTTGTTCAACATTCTAATGTTCAAATTCAATTGGATTTTTCAAAGTTTCTTTTTTTCTAATGAAATAAGCAGACCTACAGCGACCAGAAAATAAAAATCTAAATTCATATGGGGCGTCTATTGTTAACAACTTTCGATTATTGTACTATTTCTTAACATTCTGCGATATCTCGAATTACAATTTTTGCAGATGCTTTGTCAATCTTGTAAATGCAGTGTGTTTTACAGAGCCAAAAAAGTTTAAGTAGTAAAAAATGAGGTACTTATCCACAAGAGTATTACCAACTTATATTTTATTTTTATACAATAACCACACAACGAAGCATGTAAGGCGTTGAGCAGTGACGGGCGTAATGCAGTCGTGTTCTATGCGATGTAAATTTTAATTATAATAGTCGCCACTGTTGGCGCCAACTCTTTGTACGGCTGCAAAATAAAACAGTACCGCATATTTAAATAAACGCGCACACAATTCAGTTTGCTGGACCTTGGGTGTAATTATTTAATAAGGTTTATTAAAAACGAGGTGTCAGCCCGTCAAATCCATAAGAAATCCATTATAGACATTAACCTTCCTCAAAAGTTACACCAGCTACTGCTAGAAAGACAAAATTGGTGATGAGAGTGAGTACAATCCACGAGAGTGATAACTATCACCAGCGACTAAGGAGCCGGCAACCACATCTGCTGCTAATGGCAAAACCTCATTGCCTTCAATTCAACGAGCTTTTTGGTCTTCTGGCTCATGACAAACTTGGGATTTTGAGTTTTATATACCTATTGGTGTGCACTGTCTCTGTACCGAGCCAATTCTTCTTTCTTACTTGAAAACCAACTAACTGGGTTGACTGTATATAATTATGTTACAATGCATAAAAAAACTACAAAATTAGTACTAAATTTATAAGCATAGCAGCAGCGTATACAAATTAAGTACAGACATGTATGCCATGTGTTTGGGTTGATATTGTGGAATAGAACTTTGCATACCACTTTATTATGGTCTCAATTTCAATAATCTATCCACACATTCGTCAGACATTTTATATTGGTTTTGCATAGGTTGAAATGTACTTGCGTACACATGTGTATTGAATTTTACTGCTCGGAAGACTCATTAATGTCTTTCATTGCTGTAAGGTTTTCTTAAAATAGAAGGCACAGATAATCAAACAGACTGATGGTGGATCTAGTATCTACTAATTTAGAATAGTGATGTCTCAAGTAACACATACAAGTGTATACTTGATGAACAAAACTTATATTATTAAGCATTTTGATAATAAACAAAGCACTTTCTATGTAACTTGGTGAAAAATTTGTGGTACGACTTTAACATTGAACAGATAAATAGTTTCATAGTCAGTTTACTTTTACACGATCAAAATTGCATGAGTGACAATTAACTAACTTCCCCACAATGTGACAAAACAGTAAGTTTTTATATCCAGTTTTTATTTATTTATTAACTCGTCGAGTACCGTCATTATAGACACAATTATAGAACAATAGGTTGCGGTCACCGGTGACCGCTTGGTGTTTGACAGTTTAAACTCATATTATATTAAATCCAATTAAGAAAGACATGAAAATTTATTTACATACACATTTCCCCTACCCGAACTTACATATGTTTTAGTATAATTAAATGAAATGTAACAGTGAAGGTAACAGTCATCTTATCACTCATTATGAAACAAGCCCTTAGATGTAGGTCTCCAGGTAGGATTGAATAGATGAGTACTGTATGAGATTAAGCAAATCATGTATTTAGGTATTTCATTAATTGTAACAAATTATTGTTGTGTACTCAGTCAGGTTCTAACCTTTTCCACCCAAATATACATGAAGTAGTACAACTATCTCTGTTTTGTTTCTGCTTCAATACTCGTTGCTTTTATGATGATATTCATTATTACAAGTAAAACGAATGCACTTTAGCAGGGCCAAACAATGCTGGTCACTTACTTATCTAAAAAACAGATACATAAAGATTGACTTGTATAACATGACAAAAGATAATGCACTACCTAACAGTCCCCCAAAACCTAAATTATGAACTGCCAAATCGTTTTCAGATAACCTTATCAAGATAAAGTTATAAATTCAAGTTTCTGTCGATTTATATGACTGTGACGCAATAATTTATGGCATTATACCAAAACCGACAACAAAAATATCAAAGATAACATCACACTAGTCCAGTTAAGGCCGGCAGGAAATAATTATAATAGCATACTTATAAAAATAAACCGGAGAAAAGCGATTCAGGAAACAAAATTACACATCTTTGGATTCATAATAAATAGTAAATACTTACATAAAACCGGTCAAGTTTAATTATGCGTAAGCTTCTCTTTATTTACCACTAGTCCAACATGGAACACATCGTAGGTAATATATTCACTAGAATTCTGTAAATTACTTAGTTGTCCACAGCTGACTCTAGCGATAGACCAACGTTTATTCTGCGATAAAAACTACACAACACTCGGAAATTATATTGCACAACGTCACAGGAATGGATACTGTCAAATTAACTACAACTTTCAAACATGATGTTCACTCTACGATTCTTTACCACCCAAATTCACATCACCATTTATTGCGCACGCAGTACTGAGTCGACATTCATATCGGCCATTCCATTCGGCTAACAACGAAGTCAAGTCAACGAAACGTAACGACGATGGACGAGTGAACTGACATTTAGAAATGTTACCAGACTTAGATGAAATATTTTACTAATGCTAAAAAATTGACACCAAAAAATGTTCAGGGCTTTATAAGCTAAAATTAATAATTTACAGTATCGGAAAGTTTAATAATATCGTATGACATCTTTCATTGAATCCAAATGTTTTTATTTATTTTCATCTAATTAATCTAAAGTCGATTAGTCGACTAAAGTAACGAACATAACGATAAATGGTTCCGAAACAAAAACTGGGAGCGACCGATCAATGAAAGTCAAAAATGTCAAAACAAATTAAATCAACAAACTGACGTGTACTTTGCATATTATTTTTACAAATGAAATAAAACTTTGATAAATAAATTTGATTACATTGAAAATGTCTGAGTCAGAAAGACTTGTACAAAATGAAGCTGGACCATCTGAGGGCACAGAAAGGGGTGAAGGCGATGCACCACCAGCTGCATCCGTATCTGAACGGGAAGCATACTTTCAAGCCCTTCGATTATGGATCCAGCAGGCACAAATGTATCAGAACCTATCCACTTGTTTTCCCTACTATATGATGTCATTTCAAGGCTTACAAAATAATGCTACGAATGTACCTCTTTTGAATAACAACTATCAGTTTCAAATGCCCTTTCAAGTTCCCAATGCGCCTCGGAACGCTCCAGAAACACAGCCGCAGCCCGAAACACTCACTCCTGCTGAAGGTAGCGCTGATTTATTATGAGTGGTGTTATTGTTTTAATTCAATGTTTAACTCATTAAGATAATAATTATTTATATAATGAATGAAAAAGGTAATATGCCTATATGTATCATAGTGTATTATTTATATCCTATATTTAGAGATTAATCACAATTTAGGAAACATTATTAATTTAAAAAAAAAATTACTTCTGAGTACACCATGTTTGGCATAGATTTTAATCTTAAACTGTCAAACACCAAGCGGTCACCGGTGACCGCAACCTATTGTTCTATAATTGTGTCTATAATGACGGTACTCGACGAGTTAATAGTAAATAAAATTATTTATTATGTTCATTGTGTTTCAGTGATAGCTCGCCATGGTGGATTTGAGTATGTAATACCACCTTTACACAAGCGCCTTGTTGCTGAATTCATTGACTTCATGCTCCTGTTTATTGTAAAACTAATAGTGACCTTCATGGCAGTGGATATGTTTGAATTGATGTAAGTATTTAACTCAAATTGAATATTATTACTACTTTTGTATCAATTATAAGAAGTTAGACTAGGCTTTGTTGATCCAACAAATAATTGATGTTGACCGCTTATAATAAAATGGGTCAGAAGGTAAATTTAAAAATATCAGGAATAACATTTTAAAATATCGTAAGGTTGCTATAGATTGGATTTTAAAAATTCTTAAAGAATTAACATTGCATTAAAATCTTATACAAGAATTATGTTTTAGCATAGACTTAGGCAATATTTAAAGACCAAAACATATTACATTGTAAAAAATCCATTAATTTGTTTTGATTGCAGTGACCTTGACAAGTTTGATTTCTACAAGTTCAGCGAGCACTATGATGACTACAAGTATGCAATGGAGTTGACATCTGAGATACTATTTCTTGAAGTCATTTACAGAATATTGGTGTGCATATTTGAGGTAAATTATTTTATTATTTATTTATTTTATTTTCAGCCATGATTGTCCCACTGCAGGACAGAAGGCCTCCCTACCCTCCTTCCACTCCTCTCTATGTAAAGCTTTTTGCGGCCAATCCTTGTCATAGATGTCTAATTCGTCCCGCCATCTCCTTTTGGGCCTGCCGCGACGTCTACTGACATTGAGTGGGCTCCACTCAGTAGTAAGTTTTGCCCACTGCTCATCTGATATGCGGCAGACATGACCAGCCCTGGTACACTTCAAGCCTGCGGCTTTATGGCCAACGTCAACGATTTTAGTTATTTTTTTTTTTTGTTTTAATTATTTCAAAAACCATTTGTAATAATACCATTTATAAGGAAATCATTGCAGATAATATTGTAGATTTTTAACCAGTTAAGTTACATTATAATAAACACATAATTATGCATAGAGCTTGGACATACCTAAGTAAATGTTATTTTGAATATGAAGAATTTACAAATCTTTCTCTCCATTATAATTTCAGGCTTTCTGCTTGTCCAGTAGTGTGGGACGAACAGGCGGCGCGACTCCCGGCAAGGCATTACTTGGTATCCGCGTAGTGACGGCGTCCGCCGTCACACCTGTGGAGGGTCGACCTAGGGAGACTGTTCTCCTATACCCTGGCCGAACACTTTCTTTCACTGTGGCATTGATCAGATCACTAATGAAAAACTTCCTTATTTCCCTACTATTTCCTCTCTGTGTGGTACTCTTTGTATTTCGCCACAACCGCACCGGCTATGACTTACTCTGTGGAGTTATTGTCGTTGAAGAAAATATGTACCCACCAAGACGTCATGCTCCATGAGTTTGTACAATTTTATTTTATTAAGAAAATATTTTGAAAAGGACAAGGTTGTTGAGTTGTGTGGTATGGTGTTGCTGAATTCCTAATTTATTTGTAAGTTTCCTCGATCATTCTTTATTGCTCTTTGGTACATAAATTATAAATATCTCCGATTTCTGACAAAGTTATTTACACAAATTACAAGAATCCACAACCAACATTTTTGATCTTTAAATTATGCTTTCATTATGTGTCTATTTGTTATTATTTTTTACCAAATTTAAGTATGTTTTTTATCAGCCATTGCTAACACAAGTATGACATTAGGTAGTATTTAAACATCTGTTTAAAAATTTAACTGTAATGTTTATCACTTGCCGAATTGAAATTCCTATGATAAAAACATCACCAAAGAGTCGGAACTATTAGCGTTTAAGCATGTATTCTACATGATATACAAACATAACAACAATGAAAAGTTGTTTGTTAGTGTACTCATACAGTGCATCCAAATTATAATAAATTGTATTTTTCAAGAGATAGTCTTGACAATGGCGGTTATAGATTTATTTATTTTTACAAATCACAATATACAATGTGATAGAAAAAGTGCTGCCTGATTTGTTAAGATATTGTTGAGCGAGTAGAGAAGACATTATTCTTCATTGTAAATCTTTAAATCTTGTTAGGTATAAGTCGTACTTACCAGATGCAAATGTATGAATTTTAGACATGTCACAAACATTCATGTTTATATTACTTTTGTTTTTCTTATTTCTTTCTATTTATCATTTTTATGGAAAAAACTTTTCATATCGGACAGTATTTTTTGTAACACTGTATTTGAATTAGGCATAGAAATATTTTATTTTAATGAATGGAAAATTTAAGTTTATCCTATTACGTTTAGAAATTACGTTTGTAATGCACAGTTCAGTTTATTTGCTGTTTGCTGGGTGTATTTATTATAAGTGTTTAAATATTATTGCTAAATGGTTTCTCTCTTGTGGAAAGCCTGAAAGGAATATAATATTATTATGAAATGTAATAAAATGGATAAATGTAGGGTGTTCTATATAATTTTTAAGTAGTAACATTATCTGTACAATGATATAATATACTTTAAAACAATGACTATTGTTTTAAGTTTAGAAATATTTAAAATACAAAGGTTTTCTTTAAATTATTTTGTCCTCCTTGGTTTTTAACTAGAAAGCCCAGGTTAATGTTAATAACTGCATATTATATTATCAAGTGCTACAAAATTTATAGTACAGTGTTGGCATTATAATCGTGAATCGTTTATTTTTCAGATTAGTTTAAGTACTAAGTACCTAATACTGGTTTAAATACTGAGTTATAAAATTGTGATATTTATTTTTGTGCATTGTATTATATTGTAAATATTAAAATAAAATGTAAAATTCTAAAAATTTTCTCATTTTTATCAATCTTTGTTGTAGTTTTTTTTAACAAATTTTTCCGCATCAAATTTGGTTCAGCCAATCGCGAGATAATCGCGCACAAACATACATACAGGTCAAATAGAACCTTTTTTTCTTTTTGAAGTCAGTTGAAAATGGCAGTAGACGAATCATGTCAACATGTCTATTTCAGATTTCCCTTGCGATAATCTCTCATTAGTTTATACTTAGGTGGTATAAATTAGGTCGCCTTTGCTGTGTATTTAAAAAAAAAAAGAAAAATGTATTAACATAGTTGTGGTCTTAAATCTAAACTCCTCAAACTTTAACGTTTGATGGCGAACTGGTTGGTTGAACTGGCTGGTTTGACTGGAATCCTTTTACTGCGCTTTTGCGCTGCAAGAAAAGGGCTGGAAAGGAATGAGTACCTATGAGTTCACATTAGGGGGTGTGCCATGGATTGACTTGACAGAGCGCAGTAACTGATGCTTCCCCTCCGGCCTCCATACCTCAGGTATATGTACGTGCGGACCAGACCGTGTCTACCTTGATCATCTAGTGGTTATAAGTTCTAAACTTGCAGCAGTCAGTTTTAACAAAACAAGTTTAAGTTAAGAATAGATACCTAGTACCTACCTACATACTTAACAAACATGACTTTGCCTATATGTTAATATAGATGTACACGGTACCTCAAAGCGTGGTTTACTACTATGTAGTTTCTAGTATGCTTCTTTTTATTCCATCACCTTCATGCATTCCGAACATTTGTTCGACTTTTTTAATACTATAGAGTCTCCTTATTACATTAAGTAATCTCTAACTCTAACATACCAATGTTAACATCTTTTTAACTCCTGTTATAATGTGTATTATGTTATGTACATCATAATAATATATTATGTGTAGTACCTACATAATATGTACTAAGTTGAGGCCTACTAGTTTTTGAGTTGGAGAGAACAAGAGTTGGAAGGGTAATCCCTTCGAAAGTAAAAAAAAAACGTTGAAATCGAGTAGGAAATGATTAATTTTTGAATAAGAAAATAATTAATTTGTGGAGTAAGTAGAGTCCGTTCAACGTCAATAGACGTCGCGGCAGGCCAATGTGTAAGCCAATGTGGAACGGCAGGTCCAAAAAGAGATGATTGGACATCTGTGGCGAGAATTAGCGGCAAAAAGCTTTTCATAGAAAGGAGTTGAAGGAGGGTAGGGAGGCCTTATTCCTGCAGTGGGACGATCATAGCTGAAAATAAAAATAGTTTGCTTTTATTATAAAATAAAGATTAATTCTATGTGGATATTACTAGAATACAAAACTAAGAATATATTATCGAATGTTACAAAATAAAAAATAGTTGATGAAAACGATAAATCAATCTGAGATTACAACACTGGCTACGTCAAAGAGTGGCTGCGTTCAGAAACTTAATTGTCAATATTGACAACATTGGATGATAATATATTACAAATAATAATCTAAATATTAATTGAAATAAACATAAAACTTTTCTATTTGATAAAAGTTTCAATAGTAGATTCATTAGTGCTTCGTTAAAGATCAAATTATTTTTTTACTTCAAGTTAATTTTGCTGAGTTGGCTTGTGCGTCGCGCCGTCAGTCTGCCGTAACGTGGCGGCGCTGCGCTCGTGTGTGTGCTGCAGGAGTGGCTCAGTGGCTTGAACTGTCATTGTTCATGTAGTTTTCTGTGATAAGAATTACTGTGAAATTATAGTTTAGCGAACTAATTTACACAATCACGATGTCCGCCTCGGGTGAATTCGGTAATCCTTTACGCAAGTTTAAGCTGGTTTTCCTGGGGGAACAGAGCGGTGAGTAAGGGGAAAAAATCGCCCCTCCGTCGTACATTTTTAATATATAGTTTTGAATTTACGATAAGTAAGTATAGATTCGTCTAGACTTTATCGAATTACTGACCTACATAGGCCCGGGGAGGTATAAGTTGTGGGTTTTATTTGCGAAAAAAGTGTGATTACTTTAGCCGTAACGTCTGCCGCGTCTGTGCCGAATTACGTTATGCTGAGATGTAGGTTACACTCTCTGGGTACATTGTGAGCGTTGAACCGCTGCTGTAGTATGTTCTCACGCGTATCTGCCGTTATCAATCATTGTATTTGATTAGAATCGTACCGTGGCAATTAGATGGTGTACTGACACGCAAATTTGTATTCTTTTTCAGTGGGGAAGACGTCGCTCATCACTAGGTTCATGTATGATAGCTTTGACAACACTTATCAGGTGAGTAAGTTCCCAAGAAAGTTGTAATACCAGACTGCTACCGTGCTTCAAAGAGTCATAGGATTATGGCAATGTCCAGTTATAAATTACATCACTGGTTAGTCATTGAACCTAATGAATATGTATGTTAGAGAATAATGTTGTATCTGCATAACACCTGAGCAAGGTAATGCTCATAATTTTTGCTCTGAATGAGAAGTGCAATGAAAGTGACTGAGTTTAAAACTGAAAGTATTCTTATTTGATAACATCAAAATAAAATAACTGCCTGATAGGGTGTGCTATGATGAAATTCAATTAGGAATTTTGCCATACTAATAAGATTAGGTGATTTTTAGTGACACATTCACTAACACCAACTATGTGTACACATCAGTGTGTTATTTGACCTTTTGTGACCTATAGTTTTATTGAGTTGCTTTCATAAAATAACTGTAAATACGTATTCTCTTGCTGCCCCTACCTGTGTTACCATACAAATTTATTTTTTATGGTAAATTTGTCACAGCAATCGGAAACTTAACAGTTTTATTTCTTATTTATCTGTTTTTGCAATTACTTATTTCTGTACAATATGTTGCATATTCTGAAGATAAAATTAATAATGAATGTTATCAAATCAAAAGATATATACAACAATAAAGTTAATCATATCAGTATAAAAATGCAATATTTGTGAAACAGCTTAGTTTAATGAAGATGTAAAAAGAAAAGAAAGAAAACACAGTCTCTATTTTGAATCTATGCATATTTTATGTTACTTACTTGATTTATGAATTAATAATTTACTAATATTAAATGTGGAGAAAATATTTGATAATATATAAATATTGAAATATAAATTCATAATGAGCACATATTTTGTTAAACTGAAAACAATAGGAAGGAAATCTATTTTAAAACCTTTTGCTTATCTTTGTTATAGGTACAATTCACTGAATATTTATAATTTAAATATTTATATTTTGTGTAATATGATGTTATTGATGTCTCTAAATAAATGTTTGGTTATCCAGAGAGGCCTGTAGGTAATTATTTGGTTTCACTCAAACATCAATTAAGAAGCAGGTTATCATTAATAGTATTTTAATATACACCATACTTACAATATTGTAAAGTTGCAATTCTTATATCGGTTCATCTTTTAACTTTATCAATCATTATGAATTTATTCGAAATTTTTATTAATAAGTACCTATACGAGTTTACATTGAATTTCACCTTTGTCCTTTTTACTTAAATAAGTAATTTATGTATCTTAGCTTACAACCCATTTGTAAAGATATAAATAATTCAACCTGGCGTCAACAAGCCTTCAAACAATTAAAAAAATCTAAATCAATGAGATTTTAAATAAAAGCATCCTTACTTCTTTGAAGTAGGTCTTAAATGGTTTTGAAGATTAGCTCTTAACATTGAATCAGTATTTCTCCTCTATATTAGACATAAAAAATCGAATTTATCCCATTACAATAGATATCATAGTAGGAGATCCCGCATTGAACGACCTTCACCGAGATGCTTATTTGATGAAACATATTTTATATTCAATTTAATATGTCAATAATTATATTCCGTATGGGTTGCCTAATAAATTTCAGTCCAGAACATGACTAATTAATAATTTAAAAAATATTTTTTTTCAAATGTTTCACCGGTTTGACTATTAAACAAATTCCATTTCAATCGAAAGTATGAAGCCCATAGAATATGGAAACGTTAGGTTGCCTATTGTATTCCAGTCATAACTCTCGGGTTGCCAGGTCTAAACAGGTAAATTTATAGTAGGATTTTGCAACGGCCTGATAATTTAATCAAATTTAATTCAAAATAAAGATTATTTAATTATGAACACGGTAAAATAGGGTTGCCTGCGAAAAATCAGTCCTGAATTAGGGTTGTCGAATTTTAAAAAGTGAAATATTGCCGCGAGTGAATAGGTAAGACTGAGAGGTCCCAAGCAACCGTTCCGTGCGTTAGAAGAGGACAGAGCATAACAGCTGCTTTTTAATGCTGCTGCTGCTATTTTTGTGTCATTAACAGAAGCTGCTGATATTTTCATTGAATATAAAATAAAAATAGTTCAAGAATTTATAGCTTGTATGTATAGGATTAAGAATTGCACTAATGTGAATAATGCAAGATATCGCATTATTATGAAAAATTACTCTGCTAAAGAAGACAGTGAGCAATTTCTAAAAAAAACTAAAAAAATCACTGTTTATTACCTATACAAAATTATAAAGAAATATATTTTTTTTATTATTCAGCTCCTGAGTCATCGGAAATAAAGCTTAGATCTTCGACACCTGCACCTTCTTCGTCATCTCTCTCTGTTTCGGTTCTTTCAACAATATCATCTATTCTTAAAGGTGCATAATCCCCAATAAATCCTCGTGGTTTTAAATATTCATCTAAGTACCAACCACAGCTCTCAGATTTAAGTTTGATACATATTGGATCTGTTGCATTCAGCCACATCGAATTTACTTAAATAGTTTGTAAAACTTTTTGTGGTAATGATATGCAGCACGGAGGTATGGAGTT